AAACAAAAACGACGAATTAGGCCGAATTTTGTTATCGGTTGGCTTAATATAACCCCAACGGACCGTATTTTTGTGAAAGATTGGTATTTTTGTCCTGATTTGTAGGAATCTATAAAACGCACTTCACAACTTCTCTCTTATTTAGTTTTATGCGTCATTCAAGATGGCGGCCCGCATATAGTAAATATCGTATTTATTTTATCATCACGTGTGCGCCAGCTGACTGTGCGTCTTCCCTGAAGCCCAAGAGCTTGGCTGTGTTCAGGCTGACTGCGTGAAACCGTGCTTCGGTTTATTTTTCTTCAAATAATCTCTCTGCTTATGATTTTATTGATATTTCGGCAGCTTTTTCCCTGTTACATATCTTTTACCCAATTCTACTTTTTCGGCCATCTTGAAAGTAGTTCGATATAAAATAACTGGTGACGTTAGTCGATAATATGGTGACGTTTACCATGCATATCATGACGTTTACCATGCATATCGAAATTCTACGTCACATCATGGTGTCATATTTGACATGGTCATTTAACAATTATACATATGCTTCACATTACAGCTATCATGTCTGAACGTATAATTTCCCTATCAAATCATGGTGAAGATTACCATGACAGAATGGCTGCCTTATTTGGATCCAACAAAGCAGCAGTAAACACAGCAGGAAATGAGAATATTAAGAGGGCTCTGGCTAAGTTGAGACATGACCCATCACATGAAATGCGCGTTTTAGCAATCGGCAGTGCAACAGGTAAGTACTGAAGTTGTTGATAAGTAAATAGAATAGGGTTGCATAATAAAAATGTAAACTATCTTGCTATCAACGACATTTATTTTTAATATCAATTATTTGCAATATAAATGTATGTATACTTTGCTTTCCCTGGTAATGCCACCTCCTAGTTTTTATAACATATACTGTATTTATTTGCCTGTAAACCACGATGCCTCGACGACCTACAACAAAAGATCACTTTCTGCTAATATACATTCATGCGATCCGGTCTTAGTTTAGTGACGATACAACATCTTGTTACATATTGGCCCCTATTAAAATAATAATAATAATAATAATAATAATAATAATAATAATAATAAT